ACTGGTAATCATTAATACAGGTAAGTATTGATGTGGCTTGACATCCTCTTCCCAAGATGATGCATGTGTAATCTACTATCAATTTGACGAAAGAATTTAACACACGTCAGTCATCATGAGTTCTACCAACAGTTAACATTAGCATTACTACACCTTGTGACGAATGTTTTATTCATAAAGTTGCCATGCTACAACCAGTAAATTATAGAATAATCAATACTGTTTCACAATATTTTTCATAACGATTAGCCTCCAAATCTAATGACCAACTTGCCTTGTAATCGTGCCTCTCGTCGTATCTCCCTCTCGTGTTCTGTGCATACATCCCAGGTGAGTTGAGCGATACGCTCTTTGGACGATTCATACGAAAAATCAGACTGGCATTCCCATTTCTTAAATGTTGTAATCAGTAGACCTTTGTGAGTTTTTATCGCCGCCATCTCAAACTTTCATCCGCGCCATTCCTCAGTTTGCGGACTAAAATACTAACCCGCATGCGCACATAACATTATCTGTTCCATCCCCCCGCAACACTGAAAACAAAACAAAACGAAAGTAAATTAGAAGAAAGACACTCACACACCACACTACACCACACCACAAACACACATACAGGCACAGTGAAATCGCGTTGATCACACAGTCAACTCGTGTGCGGTGACTTTTATGGTTAAACTATTTTTTGGTATTTAAAATGACGCCACGGAAACGACACGCTACCAGTAACGATTGTTACCGTGAAATCCTCAGGCTTGCCGTAGTTTTTTTTTGTTTGTTTGTTTGTTTTGACTGAGAAATTTCCTTGCGTCCCAAAAACGCACATTATTTGGAACTGTGCGTCCCGTGGGAAAATTATGCGTCTAGGACGTGGGACGCAGAGGTAACGAGATGGTTTTAATCTCTAAACATTCTCTGAGAACTATTATTATTACCACGACCACTAATAATACATTAATTAATTTAATACCGTCAACTTCACAATAATAATAAATAATTAAATGAACCATGATTTTAAACTATGTATTGTCAATATTCATTATTCCAAACATGAGAAAGCATTCCGCAAACGTAACTGGAATCGAGCAAAAGGACTCCAAATCCCAACGGCCAAACCCGGAAGTGAAGTGCCGGCATTATTGACTCCAGCTGTAATGCAAATTACTTGGTTCAAACAAACATTATAGTGCCACCGCAGAAACGTGACGACTGTGCAAAATAACTAAATAAAAGACACCACTGTTACAGAAAGGCTTTATACGCTATTTAAACTGCCGATCGCGAACGGAACGAACCGTGTTTCTAACTGTGATGCCGCTCTTTACACGTTGCACTGACTGTCACCTGTCAGTGGCAGCCTCGCCTCTCTTAAAGCGCCAGATAAATTCATCAACATGGGTTTCCCTGGATGGATTTTGTTTGATTTCTTCATGATTTTTGCGGTCCTTGGGCCCACTTTATACCTGTGGACGAAGGATTAGAGGCTCAAATCCCTCGTTGTCCGAGGACCGGCAACCCAAGGCCAAGGCCAAGGACTTGACTCCAAGGACCAAGGACTTGACTCCAAGGTCAAGGACCAAGGACCGGTCCTCGAGCCTCGAGGAACACATCACTGCCATTTGTACATTTGACACCAGGACACCCAAAGCCGATGTAGATCGACTTTGATGCTCTCAAGCTGAAGAACGAGTCCTATTGGTCCTTAATGGCATGTGGGACTCCTGTGGGAGTGCACCGGCTAGCCACTGAAATGTAGCTTCAATGATCACTGAGACAAAAACTCGGGCGTGGGAATTTGGTGAGGCCATAGAGAACGATTTATGGACAGCTTTGAAGAAATTCTAGTCCACCATACAGCTTCGCAGGAGGGGGAAGCAGTCCACCCTCAACACTGTGTATAGTTGGGATGATGTACTCCTGACCTTAAAACGTTTTGAGATCACCAAGGTGGTTCAAAGCTCCTCTGTGGCAGGGTGCCAGGGGTAGATAAGATCCACCCCCTATTCCTAAAGGCTTTCGATTTTGTTTGGCTATCTTGGTTGACACACATCTGCAATATCGCATGGACATCGGGTGACAGTGCCTCTGGATTGCATACTGGAGTGGTGGTACCCCTATTTAAGAAGGTTAGCTGAAGGGTGTGTTCCAGCTTTAAACTGATCACACTCCTCAACTTCTCTGGTAAGGGATCTGGAGAGGAGGGTTTAGTCACTCCGCCAAGGTTGCCCTTTGTCAATGATTCTTTTTATAACCTTTTTAGGGACGTCTCGGTGCAACCAAGACGTTGAGGGAGTCCGGTTTGGATGGCTCAGTATTACATCACTGCTTTTTGTGGATGATCTGGTACTGTTGACTTCATCACAGCACCAATTCCAATTCTCACTGGAGCGCATCACATCCAAGTGTGAAGCAGTTGGGCTGAAATTCAGCATCTCTAAATCCGAAACCAGGGTCCTCAGTGAGAAGGAAATTGTTGAGCCAAAAGGCTCAGCGAAAAGGTTCCGTCTAAGTTCCTTCCGTCACCTACGCTCATAAGCTGTGGGTCGTGACCTAAAGAAAAAGATCCCAGATATAAGTGGTTGAAATGACATCTCCACAGGGTGCCATGCGACGGACTGGTGACAGGGTGTCGTCCGCTTTTCGCCCAAAGTGATCTGGCACATTCTCCAGCACACTCCCGCGACCCTCTTCAGGGTAAGCGGTGTTGAAAATGGATAGATGGATGTTTGTAATATACTCCTTAGTCATTCAACTGCAAACCGGAGAGGAAACACGGATTTGACACACTCTCGTTAAGAAACACAAGGTGCATTCAAATACAGTAGAATATTTCAAAGTCACACAGAAAAAAAATCCATCAATACATTAAACTTTTTGATGTGGGTGTTCTAACAATCTGTAAAAGCTGTCTTAAAATAAAAAGGATGGAGGTAAAATCATGTTGCTATTTTATTTCATTACAATCAATGGTCCATCTGCATGGTCAATGAAGGCGGAATTTCCACCGCACTATTTGACCAATAACCATATACCTTGGTGGACTTCTGGGGTACTTGTTGATGGTTTCAGGAATGACCACAGGCACACGTCTATCGAGTCAGTAACACAAAAAAGTATTTAATCCCTAACAAATCGTCTAATACAGCATAGATCAAGCCAATTATTCTAAACAGAGCTCTGGGTCGTCAACTTCTAACTGCGAGGGGAGCGAGGCAGAGTGACAAAGATGCCTTTCCCTTGACCCACCTGTAATACAATTCCCCAAAAAGGGTATGCCTCTCTTTGTGTGTGTGTGTGTGTGTGTGTGTGTGTGTGCGCGCGCGCGCGAGCATGCATGCGTGCGTGCGTGTATTCAGGCATAGACTAATGGTCTGCGAGGACAGTCCGGGTGTTATCAACGGCATCTGTCAGATTAGGTGTGGATATAGTCTTCAGCATTTGGCCATCTTTGTTGTTGCAAATGGTCGTCCTACTGTGGGGACCCTTTTAAGTGCCGATTGTGATCTCTAGTCCAGGGGTCCAGCCGGCGTCCCCCCTTGCTCGTGGCACCTTGGCACCCTCTCTTCCTCAATCACACCCAAATGCCAACAGTCTCTCATTTACACTCAGAAAAAACAATCATTTGCAGTCACTCTTTCCAAACCTTCACCCAAACCATCGATAACCATGAAAGGCAGCACTGAAACAAAAGTATTTTGTGACTATAAGAAAAACCGCCATGCAGCAATATTAAAGCCTATACTGTGAATGAAAATCCCTTCATCACTTACTTTATCACTTCCAATCAAGTCACTCGGCTTTGATCCTCAATTCGGAATATTTTCTCAGGATTTATGGTTGGAATGTCAAACGTTAAATATTCAATGAGTGTTTACACAGCTAAATGCTGAAATAATAAATAAATCTGTTGGTACCCTGATACTTTTATACATATATTGTATATAAATAACATTTTCAGTGGTGTGGAAAAAAATGTGAATTGTTCAAAAGCGTTTAAAATTGTCATATCTTACTTTTTTATTTTATCAAATGTATTGTATTTACAATGTTTATCATTCTTTTAATTAATACAAATAAAACTAACTTGGAGTTGTTGAGCTCTCAACGATAATTTCACAAGTTTTTTTTTTTGTTCGTGTGGTGTCGTTTCAGTCCTGCTATGGAGGTATTTTATGCAGGTGTAGTATCAAAGTGAAGATTTTAGTATTGTGACAACACTCGTGTCCAGGCTCTCCCTAAGAGAGATGGTGAAAAGCTCCTATACCCTGGAGGGGCTCAGATTCGAGCTGCTGCTCCTCCATATTCAGAGGAGCCCGATAAGGTGGCTAAGACATCGGATTATGCCTGAACGCCTTTCTGGTAAGCTGTTCCGGGCATGTCTCACTGGGAGGAGGCCCCAGGAACACCCACGACACCCTGGGGAAACAATGTGTGCCGGTTGGCTTGGGAACGCCCCGGCACCTACAGGAAGAGCTGAATAAAGTGGCTGGGGACAGCAAGTCTGAGCTTCTGCTGGAGCTGCTGCCTCTGCAACCTGAACCGGATAAGCACAAGTCAATGGATGGATGGTTAAAGAAAGTAAATGTTTGTGTGTTTTGCAGAACATTCTTGGTGGCGTCACGTGAAGGACAACTACCTGAGGTTTACTCCATGATTCACATTCGCAGAAACACTCCAATAGCTGCCGTCCTTATATTGGTCAGTATATTCAGATCAATAAAGTGTAATTAGAACATACTGACAGCAACACAGTACATCTATAAACTCATTTGCGTGTTGTAAACAAAGACGACATAATCACGATGCACGCATGCATTGTTGGCACAGAAAGAATGGTGGGATTCATGATGTACCCAAGCCAACTAACTGTCAAGGGTTGTGAAAATTACTCCACCAAACTAATGTTGCCCAATGGAAAGTAACTTTCCGATCCTTACGGGATTACAAAGTGGGGATGAAGATATGTGCCCTGATATCCATTGGCCAGATATTCATCTTTATTTATCGAAGAAACTTAGTGTTTACACTAAAGAGAGACAACTGCGAGCCATGATTGGGCCATCGTCACCAGAAAGAAAAAGTACAGGTACATCCTGGCAAATAACTTTACTTGCATGGCAGGGGGAGTAATGTAGCCAGCTAGTCTGCTAGTTAATTTCATTGCTTGTTAAACCATATAATAGGGAACGGACAATTGCGTCAAATTGTTGCGATGGCAATCTCGGTGGGACTGCGTTGTTGGGCTACTTTTAAGTTACTAATGGTGTTCTTGGATGCCAAAGGAAAGCTAAACATCACAAACAATAATGCTCGCAAATTCACAGTTTAAGTTCATTCATTCATCTTCCGAACCGCATGATCCTCACTAGGGTCACGGGGCGGGGGAGGGGGGTGCTGGAGCCTATCCCAGCTGTCTTCGAGCACTAGGCGGGGGACACCCTGAATCAGTCGCCAGCCAGTCGCCAGCCAATCACATCTGTTTAAGTTACATGGAGATGAGAGTTCATTGAAGCTCATCGCTGAAAAGTTAGCTACCAGTTACTAGCGAGCACTAATTACAAACACATTGACATAATTTCACAATTCTTGACCACTTGCTAAGCATTTAAACCAAATGGCCACAATAACTTGCCAGATAGAAATGAGCACCGCAAACATGATTATGTCCTCAGTCCAGTCTGAGTTTAATAGCTTGCAGCCACAGGCGCCACTGGTGTTTTTGAAATTGTCCGTTTCCTCTTGGAATTGACAAAAATGTCGCCCCTTTTTCACTCTAATTTGTAGTCCCATACACAGAACAAGTCATGTTGATATTTGAAACGATTCAAAAACTGGAACAACTCCACGCTTAAAAAAAAAAATCTTTACAGCCACACAAACATATTTATCCCGTCGTTTTGAGCAAATATTGCACGTGCAGCTTTTGATGATGTAGAACAGAAATAGGTCTATAGTTCAAATCTTTCTTCATACAATGGTACACTGAGATATGAGTGACCCGACTGAAACATTTTTTATGATACGAGCCCTCGATGGGCCGAATTTTTTACTTTGACAAGCGAGTAAAGATGTGAGAGAGGAGTGAGAGAGGAGTGAACCCAACTCACTTCAAAATTCTTTCCAAAAAAGTTATATTGTTGTATATTTATAATAGCCTCATACTGTAGCTGTGACTCAGGGTAGGCCTAATACAAACAAATAATCCAAAACACCATCTAAACACTATCTCTGCCATTGTGTTGCTATGTCCCAGTAAAATAGGAGTGTGTAGTTTTCTAATCACAAGCAAGATTTGAATGTAGCCTTGCGTCACCCCTCCCTCCGCCCTCTTGAGTCGCAAATCAAAGGACGCTAACGTGCACGAGATGTGTGTTGTGCACAGTAAATAAGACAATCTAGCTGGCTGCACATTCACAAGTATGACTTAATTCAAGATGGACGGTTACACACACACAGACGTGTTGTCGTGGGTACAAGGCAGTCTGCAATTGCCAATGAGTTCACCTTCTTCAGAGTGTGGAGTAGGTGAAAAGCCTTTCGCCAAAACGTGTCTCGGTAAAACAAACATAGTCTGAGATAAAAGAACCAACAAGTTTCAGTTAATCTAAAAAGAGACGGTTTACTCTGAATCCTATGAGGCTGCGTGCGCGACAACTGATTGAAAACAGCCCCCAGTCTTGCCTTGTTTCTTTGCAATCTGTGATAGGCTATTATCAAGGTGTGGTGTGCTTCAAAATAATAATTAAAAAAAGGTTAGATGGAATGGGGTGCGTGTGTGTGTGGGGGGGGGGGCACGTTTATCACATCTGCCTCACAGTGCAGAGGTCCAGAGTTAGATTGCGGCCCCGGCATTCCTGTGTGGGGTTTGCATTTTCTCCCCATGCCCGTGTGGGTTTTCTCCAGGTAATTTGGTTTTATCCCACATTCCAAAAATTTGCAAGACAGGTTGATTGAATGCTCTAAATTGGCCCTGGGTGTAATTGTGAACGAGAATTGTTGTTTATATGTGCCCTGCGACTGGCTGGCAACCAGTTCAGGATTTGCTCCAGCACACCCGCAACTATCGTGAGGATAGGAGGATCAGATAATGAATGGATGGAGAAAATGGAGCCAAAGAGGGAATATTTTTCCAAAGGTAATTTTCCACCGTCAAGTTTATACAGACAGTTTTAACATCTATGAGAAAAAATATGTATTCTTAACTTAACTCTCCCTCTAAGCAATAGACATTTGAACACAACTCAAGGAGCCACACAAGATTAGTGATGCACTCAAGCCTTGTTGTATGTGCGAATGAAGCCTACTCAGATGAGAAGAAAAACAGACAAATCATCGATCCAATGCCTTGAAAATGACCTTGATGAATGAGCATATCCTAAGTATCTTTTGATGCACCTAAATAAAATAAATAAATAAATAAAAAAACTGAAATCCGAAGCACTGAAAGAAATGACAACTTCAAAACTTAAAAAAATGAATCCATTTTAAAATGGATCAATGGATCTTTTTCTGAACATTGCCAAATTTGTCTCAGCGAGCTCCCCGGTTGCTTCTGTAATGATGTGTGCGAAGTGTCACCCAAAGATGGCACTATCACATCAGGGGACCTTGGTAATGTGATTGCACCAAGCCTGATAAGAATGACAGGCTTCTTAAAAATAAACTGCTCGCTAAAGCTCGAATAAACGTCCAAGTTGATGGTTAAATTCCAAATGATGCGTATGCTTTGACGTGGCCAGAGAGGCAGCCCCTGGTGGCCTTCACCCCCCTGGCCAATGGTCAGTTGTGGCGGTGACAGTTCAGCATCAAATCAGCGCATGTGTGGCCCACCATGATGCAATCTGAGTGGTTACAGCAGTGTGACTCACCATTGACTTCAATAGGTTCTTTCGGGCTGGGAGGAGCAGCACAATGTCCATTGAAACAGTAAAGGTAGAAAAGCAGAAATGTCCATTCGATTTAATTAGGTCACTACTGTATGATTTTTCGAATTGCAATATCGCAGTGCTTTTGTTCAGCGTGGTCATGGAATGAATTAAATTTGAATCATGAGACGGCATTGTATTTGTTTCTTTTACCTTTTACTTGTGTTCAGGACATCAGAAATCTTTTTTTTTTTTTTTTTTTATGGCCACAGGATGAATTTTAAATTAAAAAACAGGGCCTGATTGACATAAGGTTTGCACATGCAGCAACGGGTGCAAAGTTGATTGCTCAGTCAAACAGGTATGGAAACGGATCTGCTAACTGGGTGTACCATGGATTAAATCAAAATGCACAAAAGCGCAGTTCATTTCGCATGTTCCGGGAGGAGTTTATCCAAATAGATGAATTTATTATGTGTGATGTTATTTATCAAAACTGAGAAGAATTGTGACGGCTGATATTTTTGTCTTGAACCCTCGTGCTGTATCTGAAAGACATACCACATCTGAAAGGCAGGTGCAAACAACATATTTCAGACGCTCTATAATCGCCATGCTAGACAATAATGTTGTGATGATTTTCAGAGCCAGTAACAAAAAGGAGTCATGACATGACAGAATGCAACATTTCTATCAAGTGCATTTTTTTCCCCATCTGAATTATGTCAGCAGCCTGGGATTTGGTGATGACCACTCACAGAGCAACTTGTCAAGTAAAATACAAAGTTACACAGAATGGGAACATATGTCCAACTGCCACAAACCCGGGGAAGATAAAAAAACATTTTATATGGTTGCTGTCTCCCACCCCCAAATTATTGGAGCAATAGATTTATGATGTGTTACTCAAGAATATGATTGTTTGCCTCGTTCCACATTTTTACAAACTTCATTTTGCTCTTGCAGTGCTCTCCCAAATATCAACGCTACCTCAACAGTAAAACCCTCTTTTTAAAACATTTTTCCACCTGCAGCGCATGTGATCTGTTGTACCGAGTGAATACGCAATTTAATGCCCGCTATTTGGGATCTTAGTTTGCAATTGGAAGCTGTGAAGCGCATGCATAACAAACCCACCATTAGCACACATAATGAAAACACAAGATATTGCTTTTAATATACTGAAGATGGGTCCTACAATTCTTCAAAAAATTCTGTGTGCAGTATCCATTGACCATGCTCCAGCTGTTTCTGGGAGACATCTACAGCCTGTTAAACTTCATGAGCTTTCTGCGGTGGTTATCAATTGGTGTGGTAGTACTTGGTTTAATCTACCTTCGATACACCCGGCCTGACCTTCCACGGCCCTTTAAGGTCAGTATTGACACACTTTTATCTTCTCAGCCAGATATAATCCAAGCAGTAGTTCCAAGTTCACACATATGAGCAGTGGTGAGCCATGCATTTGCTACCTGGGCCTTTCGTGGGGCTTCTTTATACCAACATTATCACATCACAATTATATAAACTATCATTATTATACAAAATACAAATATAACTGCATGCACCTTTACCACATACATCATCTAGAGCAGGGGTCCCCAACCGCCAGTCCGCGGACCGGTACCGGTCCACAGGGCATTTGGTACCGGGCCGCACAGAAAGAACTTGCCTTAATTCCGTTTTATTTATTTTGGAATACGAAAGATGTTTTATTTTGAAAAATTACCGGATTCTCCGTTACATCCGTCTGTGTCACGCTTGACACACGTCAAGCCGCGCTTCTCCGTCACGTGACCGATTACGCTAAAAACAAAACGCCAAAGCTCGCAAAATGAATAATAAAACTGCTGGAGAGCGCAAATGATGGCGGCCTTAAAAGTACGTTCGAGACAACTGGATTAAAGTTATGGCTGAATATTCTGAGATCGCCACAGTAGCACTGTTGCTATTTCCGACATGCTACCTGTGTGAGGAGGGGGTTTTCTGCAGCAACGGGTGAGGCGGGGCTTTTTTGCAGCAACGGCGACTAAAACAAAATTACGAAGTAGCCTTGACGCAAAACACACACTTGTGGTGTCTTTGTCTCCTATTACCCCGAGATGGGACCATCTTGTTGCAGAAAATCAAGCTCGGGGCTGTGGTGAGTCGTCATTTTCATGCACTTTGAATTTGCATTGTATCGTATTTTGAAGGCATTAAACATTACCATAGCGATCAGA